CCGTTGCTAACGCCGCTGCCGTTGCCCCCGGCAACAGAAGCAGCGCCCGCGGGCGTCCCGCCTCGCCATTGGCCGGTTGGGCGCCGCCGCTGGCCAATGGGAGGCCCCCTCCCCGCGGCGTCGGGCCGCGCACCGCGGCATCGCCCTCCGTTCCTATTAGCGCTCTTTTAATGAGCTCTGTCGTATTAATTAAGCAGGACAGTGCCCGGTGAGGGGCTCCGAGGATGCTCCCGGGGAGCGGGGGACCCCCCCGGCCCAGCCCGGGGGTTCCATCCCGCCCTCGCAGGCTGCGGCGGCCGCAGCAGGCAGGGCCCTCCCTGCCCCGGGGACCGGGCGGCCCGGGGGACAGCAGGACACCAGGGACACGGGGACAGCGCGGCCGTGGCTCCACGGGTCCGGTTGCAGCTGGCACCAAGGTGCCCTCGGCTGCAGCGCTGGTCCGCAGAGCAGCAGGCACCGCAGCCGGGGGGTCCCGGGGCTCACACCACCCCCAGAGCCCGAGAACAGCCCGCGGAAGGGTGATTTTGGACCCACCGTCTGCTGTTCCTCCCCTCCAGCGCCTCCCGTTCCCCAGAGGAAGACAGCAAAGCTCCTCCGTGTTGCTGCAGTTTCATAAAAACATACATAAATATATTTCCATTTCTTTAACAGAGAGCAAAGCTGCACAGGCACCTATAAAACACACAGTCACTTCACCCGGCGCTCCCGGTTGTATAAAACATATAAAAGGAGGTTGGGAGAACAAGGCTGCGGGTGAAGCAGGGGTACGGCGGCACGCAGACCCTCGCCGGGGCACGGGGAGCTGCCGGGGGGGCCCGCCGCACCCCCGGCCTCAGAACTTGCGCTTTCTCCGGCGGCAGCCTTTGGTCTGCTGCTGGCTGCCCAGGCGAAGACGCACGTGCGGCTCCAAGTCCACCATGCAGTCCGTGGCTTCTGAGAAGGAGACGTTGAAAGGAAGGTGGCAAAGGGAGCTGGGGCTGTCCGCTGCCAGCCCCCTGGCTTCGGCTGAGAGCGAGGGAGGGGACTGTTGGTCTCCTAGTCCAGCGAGGGGGGTCCCCGCGTCAGCACCTGCAACAAGAGCGCACGTCAGCCCTGCCGGGCCACCCTCCGGCGTGAGGGGCACCCCGCCACCCGCCCGGGGAGCTCGATGCCTCTCGGTGCAATGGCTCAGAGCGCTCTCCTACCCCGGCGAGGGCTCTGGGTGCTGGCACAGGCAGGGGGGTGTTGGGGGCTGACGGCCGCCCGCTGAGCCCACAGCCTCCGCGGGAAGAACAGACCCCTTCAAGGGGAATGTGTTGTCCCAGAGTGCAAGGGGAGAGGTGCGAAAGGGCAGCCCTGACCCAGCCAGGCAGGCACAGAAAGCAGCTTCCCACCTGCGGACTTGCTTTCCGAGAGCTCCAGCATCCTGAGGAGTCCCCTCTCCTGCCTTCCAACGTCCTGCCAAGGAGAGGAGAACCACCGTCACAGCGCTGCCGTGAGGGAAGCCGGTAGCCGGGGTGGCCCCGTGGCCACACGTTTCCCCAGCCCACAAATGGCAGCGCTACATTTCCAGGGCCTCCAGCTGAGCACGGCCAGTTGCCAACGGGAAGGGCACCACCCCGTGCCCAGCCTGACCAGTGCCCGAGCAGAGGCAGCTGAGAGCAGTTCATAAAGCAGAGCCCGGTAAGAAGGGAGGCCAGGGTGCAGGAAGCCATCCCCAAGCCCAGCCAGCAACCACAGGGCTGCGACAGAGAAATCTGGGCAACCAGGGGCTTGGCCACGGCTCGGGCACATCCCCCAGCACCGTGCCTCCAAGGGCAGGCCCCATCCTGCTCTGTCCAAGGGCACGGTGCTGGAGGGAAGGGCTTTCCTCCAGGGCACAGCCAGACGAGGAACGCACACCTCATGCCCCCTCTCAGCCCCGGGGAAGATGCAGCTGCGCTGGTCACGCAGGCTAAGGGCAAACCACTTGGCCTGGCTGCTTTGAGCCTTGCTGGCCCAGTGAAGTCCTCTCTCCTGGCTGCTCCCTGCCCCCAGAACGGCTCTAGAAGGCACTGGCATCCCGGCTGCAGGGCTCGAGCTGCAAAGCACCCCAAAATGGGCCGTGGCAGGAACCCGCAAGCCCAACAGTGCCACTAGGAATCTTTCCAACGGTCCAGCCCATGCCCGGGCACGACCCGCTCCCCCCGGTGAGCTGCCACCGCAGCACAAGGCAGGGCCAGAGGAACCACAGAGCCTTGCCGAGCCGTCCCGTGCCCCGTACCTGCGTGCAGGACCCCATGACGCCAGGTGGCTGTGGGGCGCGGGGACAGAGTCCAACAGCCCCCACGGAGCCGGTCACGTGCAGGCGCAGCTGTGCCCCGCAGAACTCTGAACCACACAGCGCTTGGCTGTATCCCAACCAAAATCATCAACCAGAAATCTCATCATTTGCATCTGAATCCCCAAAGGGCTGAGGCCTGTGATGGATTTAAGGGATTATACGAAACTAAGACATCATGTTGCAGCTTCATGCCGAGAATCACATTGCTGAGCGCAGGCAAAGCTGCGGCACGAGGGCTTGGCCCACAGGAACCAGCGGGAAGGCCTGGAAGGACCCTCTCTGCGCTCCCCCGGGATCGCCACGAGCAGGATAAAGCATGGCGGGGGCCAACACCTGGCGAGTGACTGCGAGCCAGCTGCTGCCCCCGCTCCTGCCTCCCGCCTCCCCTAGCGAGGCACGTCCCTCACCCCCGGCACACCTCCACCACGCTCGCTCCCCCACGTTTCTCCCAGGACGCTGCGGTTTGCTCCCGGCACCGAGCGGTTCTCCCTGCTCCAGCTCCGAAGCCTTTCCCATAGGAAAGGGCTTGTGGATAGAGTTAGACACGCTTGTCGCCCTGACACCGCCCTCCACGCCATCTATATTCAGCCGAGGAAGCCTGCAGGACCGAGGCCCGCTGTCTGGCAGTGGGACAGCCCTAGCTGCCTGCCTGCTGGAGAGGTTACTGGCAGCTCCGCTGGATTAGCTCACCCCTGGGACCGGTCCATGCTCTCGCAGAGCATCGCGGGAAGGAGGGCAACGAGTTCTCTGGCCACGGCGGCCCACAGGGACAGGCAATCCTACACCAGGTCAGCTCATCCCGTCAACCAGGGAAAGCGCTCCTGCTGCCAACCCAGCCCCAAACCCAGCGCAAAGCAAAGGAGACGGTCTGCGGGGTCGCCCCTCACCTTGGCGCTTCGCAGCCTCCTGGTTCCCTGAGCTTGCCTAGCAGCCTGCAGGCAGCTGTCCACGTGCCTCTGATACTGCAGCAGTGGCACCAGTGACTTACAGAGGTAGCACTTCTCACACCTGCCAGGCAGCAAAGGACAGAGCACCGCATTAGGATTGGCCCTGCACCGGGCTCCCAGCCACCAGCGGTGACTTTCCTCCTCCAGGCCACGCCACGGAGAAGACATGTCACCAGATCGGGCCTCGCTCAGTGGGGTCAGGCCGGCACCAATCGCAAAGACTGAGTGATTATCAGTTTTCCCTGCCTGTTCCTCTGTATCCTGCTGCTGCAGCAGCGGGACAGTAATCAGATCTGCTCATCTAACTATCTCAAACACCACTGATTTCTCCCCAGACATAAAGCACCCTGTCAAAATCCACAGAAATGAAGTGCGAGGGCTTTGCAAAGGGGAGTTAAATTCTGCCTGAAAAGCAAACCAAGTGTGTTAAATCAGAGAGACATTTTACCAGGGCTGGATGAACTTGTCTGACTAGTAAATCAAGTCTTTCTCCGCACTGTCTCCATTTTACACCCTGCCATGTTGGGAGAGGAATGCAGAGCACAGGCTCCTGCTGGGGGGCTGGCACAGCGCGTTCCTCAAACCCCCTCATTTGTGTAGAAGATGCCCAGGCTCACGCAGGACGACTGAGTGTGCTTGGGAAGAAAATTATCCTGGGTGAAAGGAGATGAAGGTCAGGCGTGGATTTAGACAGCTACGCTCGCTTCCGTGCCAGCTCTCGGCGGGGACCGAACCGTGCAGAAGAGGGCACTGGTTCTTCAGGAGGGGAGCATCCACCCGGAGAGCTGCTCAGGAACGGACCATCTCCAAGGAGAGACGAGCCCCCAGGGACCAGCCCCAGCAGCATTGTGTTCAGTTTGATAAGCAGTACTCTCCTAGTAAAACTCACCCCAGGCTCTAAAATGCGTACGGAGAGCCCCCGTCGAGCAAAACTCTGCAGTACTTTTCCCGTATTTTCTTTCCAGTCAGTGCTGATTACCCAGATAATGTGTCTAAACAGAAGCTGTCCTCTCTATAATTAGCCTAATTCCATTAGTGATGTTGCCATCCACTGTTTGTAACAGCAAAATTGCTTCCATAGCAGGGATTTTACTGTCAGATCCTCTCTTATGATGCTTTGTGTGGGTGGCAGGAGGAGGGGCTGCATGGGAAGAGATTAAACAAAGCCACTGCTATTCTGAAAGTCTAATTTAATTAAGAATATCACTACAGGTGCCATGTTGACAGCCTCCCTGTCCTAGCCTCTTCTTTTCCTGGGGTTACCAAGCTCAAATCTCCCATTAGAAACTGGCTGAGTTAGCACCATTTTAGCTACAGCTCCCCTCACAGCGGCCAGAGACCACACGTCCCCGACCCGCTGTGGATCGGGCCGAAAGGAAACTAGTGCAAAAATAAACAATCTGAGAGCAGCAAATTCCTCCTGCTTTGCTATAAATATAGCCAGCACTGCAACAAGAGGCACTGAGAGAAGGCAATTTCTTAGGGAAACATTGCTATAAAGGCCAACGGCCAGCATTTATACAGGAATAAAGACATCCACAGGCAAGCTAGAACTGAAGCACAGAAACGATGTCGGAGGAGCAAGCATACCTACTTACTTGTCAATCTCTAAGGATGTTGGGCCGCTTTCACCACTGGCAGCTTTACTTCTTGCCTCTCTCTGACGCCGGGTGAGCACTGGAGGAAAAAACAAAGAGTTACCTGCCATCCACCCCAAAAACATCCCTACACCATGTCCGAATGCAACACGTTTCAACCTCTTCCACTCAAGGCTGCAGCAGAGGTGATGGTAGAGGCAAAGAAATACTGGACTGGCACGGGCCGAAGAGGTAGCTGCCCAATTCTCCTTTTTTCTGGGGGGATACTGAAGAAGTTACCTTCCCCGGACTCGG